CACATGAACAACAACAACAACAACAGCAGCAACAACAACAATCGCGACCAACAGCGACAACAAAACGAAACAATTGTTGTCTAAATTCATTGTGTCGCCTGTGTTTGGCTTGGCGCGAAAAATGGATCACTCGAGATAGTACGTGTGTGGCATATGTGTGCATGTACCGATGTGTGTGTGTGTGTGTGCAAGTGTGTGTGTCAGTGAGGGCGCGCATTGTATAGTGTATGTGTCGATGCATGTGTATGAATATAAAAATTTACATGACGATTCTGGCGGAAATACTGTTGTATTGTAGTTGTATAAGCGAGTGTGCTGTATGTGTGTGTGAGTGTGCTAACTGAAGTATACACACATACACACACAGCTGCCATTTGATTGTGCTTCATTTCACATTACTGTCAATGGGTGTTTGATGGGCGTGTCAGTTGATACAGTTTATTAATGCCAGTCGACTGAATGCTGACGACAACAAAATTTGAGGCAGACAGAAAGAGAAAGAGAGAGAACGAGATGGGAGAGGGAGAGGGAGAGGGAGAAGAGTGAGACAGTACATATTGATGATGCTGCCACTTTAGTATTATATTCTCACAAATCAAGTTCATGCCAATAATGTCTATGTCTTTATTGCAAAAGAAAGGCTTCGCTCTTCAAGTTCTTTGATTGAGTGATGAGCAACTGTTTTCATCGATGCGATTTATTCTCAGCTGGTTTCACGGACTTCCCTTGGCACTAGAAAAACACACTTTTTAGCAAGTGTTAAGCATTGTTGCGAACAACACTCTTCGGATCGGTTGCAGTTCCTGCCAGTGCCCAGGCAATTGTCCATCAATTTTATGCGCAGAAACTTGAAGGAGACAAAAGTTATGTATAGCTCTATATAGAGTAGTTTTGCTAGAGAGTACATACACGAGGTATATCGGCTTTCGTTGCCATTACCTCAATTTTCTTCAAAGTTGGCTTCGCTTTTTTCTGCAATGTTATCGCTAGATAATCAACTTATACGAATTAGCTTGATATGGATCATACTTTCATCAGACGCCGTGAATTCTTGAGTTTTCGTCTTGCGTAAGGCATGGATTGGCTGAGTGCTATGGTCAGACAGGTGCACAATAGAAGAGCCAGAAAGAGTGTACGCCCCGACAATTCCATATCGATCACTATCTAAAATCAACTCTAATTCGCGCATTTATAGGCCTCCCTTATACAGATACAAATGTTTCCTTAAATGTTGATTTATTGAAAGCACATGTTGCTAGAATAACAGTTCAATGCAAACAGTTGCCGGCTAAGTGGCAAAAATGCGATGACTATAGTCAATTATGGGCGGACTTTGCCACACGCTCTGAACGGTGTCGACGGCCACTTGATTGCGCCAATCTCCGATTCCCTTGAATAGATTTAGAAACATGGTTGTGAAGAGCGTCACATCTTCCGGATTAACCGAAGCCGTGTTCGGTTTTGGCGGTATCAGCGGCAACTTGATCGCTGTGGCATTGAGCGGCAGAGCCTCAACAACTCTCTGTCGAATGCGAACAAACAAGAAACTGTTGAATCAATCAAGTCAATCAGCTAGTGCAAGTCGAGTGTCACTTACAACTGCATTTAGGAGTGGCAGCAGCATTAATATTAACAGAATCGGCATCATTTTTCGCAGTCCTGATGGGTCGTCTCTTGCTACTCTTGAAGTGAACTGAAGTGGCCAGTGAAGTGAAGCTTGATTTTAAGAGCAGTGGGTTTTCAATTCTTTAGTCAGTTGACCCCGGGGCCTTAATTAATTGGCAGGTTTGTAGCTCGTTTGACATGGCTCTCTATTTGCTATTTGCCCGAGTCAAGCAGTTGGCAACATTTGTGTCAAGAGTTCGAGATAATTGAATATTCTCCTCGGTGAAATTACTGGGCAAATATTTAAACTCAGCAGAACGAAACGAACCAGGTACAGATAACATTGTGTAGATATTAATCAATGTTGGACTGATGCTTGACCTTAAGATTGCCAGGTGACTTGAGTGTGAGTGTACACTAGTACAAGGTCTATTTGAACTGTTTCGAATCGCCCCTACAAATAATACTGCGTACATAATACAAGTAATCAATTTCCATTGAACTCTATAATTTTATTCGCAAACTAATGATAACCTCGATATAACTCTGTGTATTTTACAAAACTAAAATTTGGGATTTTCAATAAAATAGAATTAATCATATGGAACTTATTGGAAATTTTCGCTGTATACTGAGGTGTAGTAGAATATAAATCAACTTTTAATAAATTCCACGTTGAGCGATTCTATGCGGGCTTCGTCTGATTGGACCGCTATGCAATTGAGTTTAAACTTTAACGCTAATCAGTTATGTGCATTTCATTAAATTCCTCTAATGAAGAAATGTTCTGCTTATGAATAACAACATAATGAAAACCAGACTAATAGGCTATATATTCATTTAATCATATGCAGAATACAATTGAACTTTATTTTTACAATATTTTACACCGTTTACAAGAGCAAAAATATTTATATATGGAAATGAACACATGGCCTAAAACATTTAATGCATTTGTAAAGAGCGCTTACTTAGTCAGAATTCCTCAAATAAATATATAATATGTGATGAAGTCATATGGTAATAATATA